GTGTTTCTCACGATTCTGGCTTAAAATTTTGTGGGGAATCCAAATTCGGCCACCTCAGGTCCCGTTCGAGTGAGTAATTTTTGATATTCACACTTATAGCTATTTTTAAGCTCTTTTGAGCGTTTTTTTTCCTGTATTTTTCTAGGCTATGGGGCTCATTTGGTGTCCAAATCATGTTTGGCTTGGTTTCTGACCTTTTTGGGTCCCAAGGAGTGGTTTTCCACCGTCAAATATTTTTTTCCCAATTTTGACCGTTCTGTCCCACTGTGGTGCGGGTCTCGAAGAGACACCTCCCGAGTGAACTCTTTTCCAGGCGGGGATCCAGGAGAAATGTAGTGCGGTGTGAGGCCGTTTGCCCTCCCCCCCCCCTTCCCCTTTTCCCCCGAACCTCTAGAAACAGCCTGGAAGGTAGGCAGAAGGCCACACATTGCCCCTGTAACAGTCAAAACGTGGTCCGCTAAAGGCCGCCGACGTCGCCGCCGATGTCCATCGCGAAACGTACCGCAGGCTGCGCTGCTTGACCGCCGCGAACCGCGCCACCCCGAAGCAATGTTTCTGGGTAGGGTACCTACACTGCTTCCGGTGGGGCTCGGGGGGCCTACACTGGGGGCCTATTCGGGCCGGCCGGCATCTTGGCGGGCACGGCCAGGGCACGGCCCGGGCACGGCGTGCGTGTCTAACATGGCAACAACGGGCGTGCCGATGCGCTGTGCGTCGCTGTGCATCGCTGTGCTGCGCCAGGTCGCCAGGTACAGGCCGAGTAGTACATTGTGTGAATTGCAGTGTGCTCTATGCCGGCTGGGTAGGGCCACAGGCCCACGTAGGGCCGGGGCGGCCGGGGCATTGGCAGGACAGAGTAATGCGACAGGTAAGCCCTGACACAAAGGGTCGGGCCCCGGGCCCCGCACCCGCAGGGCCGCAGGGCTTGCAGACCAGGGCGGCCGCGCCGCCCCGTAGGGCCCCGGAGGCGGCAGGGCGGGGAGGGCGGGGCAGGGCGAGGGGGGCAGTACGAGGCCTTGGGGCCGCAGGGCCCTGCGCTGCGCCCTTTGTGTGTGGGGGCCGGCCGAGGGTGGCTGGCCGCGCTGGCCGCCGTGTCCAAGGTCCTCGGCGCAAGCGGTCCTTCCAGATCCGCAGCGCCGCCGGGACGGCCGAGACCGGAGGGGCGCTGTGGGGGCAGATGCGAGCGAGGGGTCCATCGCGCCTGCGCCATGCCTGCGCCATGCCTGCGCCATGCCTGCGCGCCCCCAAGGCCGCCGACTCGGAGGCCCTACCAAGGGCCGCCCAGGGCCGCTCAGGGCCCGTCGCCCGCGGTTCTGGAACCCCGGCAGGGAGGGACACTCCTTCCAGGGGGCTCCGCCAAGGTGCGCGCCGATCTCTCCCGCCTTGCAAAAGCTGCAGACTGATTCCGAGAGTCGTCTTCGCCGCTCTGTCTCCCTCGCGCCCATGAGGAACGCCCCGTGAGTGCGAGAGAGACAGGGCGACGAGGATGACTCTGCTGGCCGTGCAAAAGCCCGCGCGGCCGTGTGCGGCCCGGGGCGATGACAAAGCCTGGCTGCGCGGCTGCGCCAATGGCTGTGCCTCCCCGCGCCATCCCACCCTTCGGCCCGTGCCGCTTCGGCCGTTTGCACTACACTGTCCCGAAACAATGCAACCAGGCGGCTGGGCAAACAGCAGCTGCCGAGCTTTTGGTCCGCAGAGAGATCGGGCGCCCCATCACCCGGCCGCCACGCCCCGCCACGCCCCGCCACGCCCCGCCCCGGCCGCATCGAGGATCGGGGAAGGCTGAGGCACGCAGGGGCGGATACGTGGTCGTTGGGATGCACTATAGAGCGGAAATCGTGGAGGGCACGGCGACCCATCCCGGGCGTGGCGTGGCGCGGCGTGGCGGGACAGCGGAACTCAGCCAAACCGCCCTTGTCGCCCCGCCTGCCTGCGGGGCCCAGTGGCACAGCGGCCCAGCGCTCGGCAAACACACAAAAGACGGCTGCTAAAAACTCGTGGGCTCGATCCGCCCCCCGAGACAAGCGAGACAGGCGGGCGAGCGATGCCGTGCCCGTCACGAGGAGCCTCCAGGATGCGCAGGGTCCCTTCAGGATACTCCAGGAGGCCCAGGAATGTCCAGGATCCTCTAGGAGTTGCAAGATACTCCAGGAGGTCCAAGACGTCCAGGATCCTCCAGGGTCCTCTAGGAGTGGCAGGATGCTCTAGGAGGTCCAGGATCCTCTAGGAGTGGTTGGATGCTCCAGGATGTCCAGGATACTCCTGGAGGTCTAGGGTACTCCAGAGTGCCCAGGATCGGCCGGGCCATCGCGGTGTTCGCGGGGCTTGGCGTCAAGGGCGGAAGGACAGACCTCGGCGTCTCTACTCCGCGCGAACACGCACCGCGTCGCACCGCGTCGCACCGCGCACACGTGCCGAGGCGGCCGCGGCCCTCCTGTGGCCATGCCTGCCATGCCTGCCATGCCTGCCATGCCTGTGGCGGGGAAGCAGGGGCTCTGCCGGGCTCTGCAACCGCCGCGGCCACCCCTTCCCTGTCCACGACGTCCACGACGTCCCTGGCGACGCCCAACGAAGAGCACGTGAAAGGGCCGCGGGGGGTCCACGCCGCGATCCACGCGCATCCGCCCGAGCCGCGCATTAAGTAGTTCCAAACTAGAATAAATTTCACGGCGAAAAAAACGACATCGAGGAACAAACTTTTGCATTCACTGCAAAAGAGAAAGGGAAGGGGGGCCGGAAAATGTCACCGCCTTGTCAGCAGGGTAGTGTGCAGACGGCGATGTGATCCGACAAGGTGTGGTATATGGCACGGCAGGGCACGCCACTGTGGGGCCTGCCAAAGCGTACCAAAGCGTAGCCAAGGCGCAGCTTGGACAAAAGGGCCCCTATCCTGGCGGGGGAAGGGCATTGCTGCGGCCCTGTGGGGCCCCGTGCAGGTAGTGGACCCAACGCCCCGCCGTGCCCCCCGTGCCCGATGCGCTTGCAGTGCGGCATGGCCTGCACGGCCTGCATGGCCTCGGTGCCGCAGGGGCCTACACGGCAAGCCCACGGCCTACGGCGGGCCTGCACAGGCGGGCCTGCCCCGAGGATAAGGACTTTACCTGCTCGATGCGCCCCATGCTTTGCGCCGCTTGATTTTCTTTTTTTTTTTTTTTTTTTTTTTTTTTTTTGCTCCGATCTTGACTACTCCGAATTTCGTGGAGACCTTCCCAGAGACTGGAAGCGCGTCTCGTTGTCCGTACAGCGTACGTGCGTGTACTTAGAGTCCTCCAAATGGAACGTAGAACGTACACAGTGCGGGAGTGTCCCGGACAAGACTGGAGGCACTTGGGCTTCCTGTCTGACCGCGCCGCCGCCGCGCCCGCACGCCCACGCCGACGGAGGCTTGCTCTTGCTGCAGACTGATTCCGAGAGTCGTTTTCGTCGCTCTGTCTCTCTCGCGCCTATGCGGTGCGCCTCATGAGTGCGAGAGAGACAGAGCGACGAAAGCGCCCCTCCTCTCCAATTTAGTCTGCAGGCCACGTGGGATCGCGAAAACAACACGGCCACCCGGCGAAGGTGAGGATCAAGGTGATGCTGGACCTGGAAAAGTTGAGGTCAAACGGAAGGGGGGGGGGACTTTCAAAAATATCATTGACTAACTCGAAGGGCCCAACAGACCCTGCGCGGCGGCTGCTGCTGCTGAGGGTCTGTCAAGACGTACGCACCAGTACCTGTCAACACATTTTTAAAGCCTCCCCAGAACCAGGACAACACAAACCAACGACCTGCTTCATCCTTGAGTTCTCGATCAAGGTACATTTTGTTCAACCCTATCCTTACTGTGCACTTGCCTCAGGCCCTCTTTTCGCCAAAGGGTCTCTCAGCCGAGGGGCCACCCCCGATAGAGTCCTAAGCGTGTTCTAGGACGCTACATCTTGTTCCATGCTTCACGCATTCAAATCGATTGGTTGCGCCAAAATAAGGAAACGGATCCCATTGACTAAAAAATAGGAGTCCAGGGAAACGATGAGTGAACGGAGATGGCGTGTAAACATGGGAGAGTTTCAGTAGTTCTCCGTGCCGCCGCAGTACAGTGGAGCGCCAGCTGCTGGCCTCGATACCCCGCACTTCCCTAGCACTGGCTGGCAATACTCCCTGCCCCGCCGCTTGCCGACAGAGTCTCTCGCTGCTGGAGTAGGGCCGACACTCATCAGGACACTTTCTTGATTTGCCTGTCTCAGTGAAGAACAGGTCGCTCGAAATCAAGTTCGATCAAGCTCAACAGAAATCCCAATACATCGCAATGATGTACAAGATTGTTCAAGTCTCCATCCCGCTTTCTATCTTCGAAACAAATACAACTGGACTGCAGGCTATCGTAAACGACAACAGATAGTTAGGAATATTCAGTTGAACAAAATATCATTGCAATTTTGACAGTGAAGAATAATGTACACAAATTTCAGTTTGAACAAAGCAATGAGTTGAAACTACTCAATATTAAGTTTGACAGGTCAATACCTCACAACCCTGAAGTAAGCCAAGTTTTAAGAAGGTTTACACAACTAGTTACTCTAGATTTGCCGTTTCACATGCAGAAAAAACATAAAAACTAAAAAAAATAATTTAAAAAACAAAACAGTTATGGCTCAAAACAACAAGGGACGAAGGAATGGCATGGCAATGTCTATAATTTTCACATGCAGTTCATCACACCTAATTTCTAAGCAGCTCAAAATAATCATAGCAAAAGTCAAAATATTACTTTACGATTGAGTGAAAATGCAATTCAACGTATCCGAACACTCAAACATACTTTGCACAATCCTCATACAAAGTGGTGTGGTTCACACTCACATTACGCTACTGCAGTGGCAGTTTGTTACTTTGAGTTAAAAGTTTATGAAAAACTGCTAAGGAATCTCCAACAGACGACAACATTACAGATTTTGGCGGTTGTCACCTAACAATACGACTGTCAAAACAAGTCTAACCTCCCACTGATGCATTTGACTTACCCTTTCCAGCTTCTGGAAGTACTCCCTCAGGAAGGAGATCGGGTTGTCCGGTCTTGTCACACACAGCTGAATAATGCAGTCCTTCAGCAGTTGTTGAATGTTGTGAGTTTGGACGTAAACTTCACATTCTCGAGTCTGTTCTTCCTCTAAATTTGTGGCCATCTTCAGACAAGCAGACAACAATTTAAGGTTGACCTGATTGTCAAACACCAACTAGCCCGAAACTGTCCTCAGACTTTCTCGAAATGATTTCTTTAAAAGAAATGTCGAAGTATATGTACGTTAAAGTTCAAACAGTGCAGTCTTTTAAATGTTCATTTAATCAGGTAAATTAAATTCTCTAAATGGAATAAAAATACCGAACAGCCGACGACGACGACGACGTCCACTGCCGTCACTAAGTAGATCCAACCTTACGACAATCGACCAGCGTGGCCACTATTCTGATCAAATTTTCTGAAATGATTCCTAGTTTTGGCAGCGGGATGGTTCAGTATGCTTATATGAATGTGATTCCCTTATTTGGTTGAAGAACCTATGTTTGTTGCTTCACCATTTCACAGGACCTTTGAAAGAAATTCGTCTGCTTGTTGTCTGTTTGTTTATGTTTATAAAGCGTTTTACACAAGGAAAGCCCTGTTTTCACGAGTATGTGTAAGTAACTTTATTGACAAAACCGGGACAGAACAATAAGATCGGTTTTCCTATATTCTAAGTTAATTTTCTTTGTTAAATGTCTTTCTGATTTGTTTTCGTTGCGCAGTTGGCTGTTTTGGGGAGTCACTTTGCATGGAAAGAAGAAAGTAAGGAGGAAGAAAGGCTTAAATAGCAGACGTCTTTCCATTCCCACAACAATTACACGTACTCATAAAACATATTTACTATATTTCTTCATGATTTTTGTCCTTTTATATTCTTGGTTAGCGTCAACAGTGCCTTAGTCTGTTTGTCGATGTGAATATCTGCAAATCGTTTATCGAAAATGATTCTGTACACCTTGATAGTCCGATCAAAGGATGGACTTGCCCTGTCGGCCTCAACAGATTTTAATGATGAAGGTCTAAGAGATGTTAAAGAAAGCAAGAAATACCTTAAACTTTTAGCCAAAAAGGCATTTCAGTTTCCTGACAGATGCATGCTTCATACTGGAACACACACAATTTAGTAAGTAAGACTTATTTCATGTATTGAAATTAAACGAAGCAGTAAGGTACATTCAATTGTTGCTCGTATCCAATGGTTTTCAGTAACTGATTTTTACATTTGGAGGCCTGTCAATAATAGTGATACTCAAGATATGCCTTTAACATATTCAGTGGACCAAGTCTCCTAACTTATTTTATTTGCTCTTGCTAGTTTGATTACAGGTCTGGGTGTTTCATATCTAGCACTGAGTGACCTATCATATCCCACAGTTTTGGGATTCAGCTTTTTGAATGAGCTCATGAAGGAATTTCTGGGGAAATACCAAGCACTGGTTGTGAATCAAGCTAGGCGACCATATTCATTCATTGATTTCAGTAAGTATATTATTATTGTTTCTTTACTCTTTGTCCAAGGAATAGAATTAAAAAATGCAAGTTTACCCAGTACCCAGGATTAAGATCAAACTTTATTTCTTAATTATCAGATAATGTCATTCATTCTGCTAGGCAAAGATATAACAAGCCACAAAGCTTATCAACAAGGATAAATTTGACAGAATTGAGTGACGAAATACGCTTACGACCACCTCATATTATTTCTCTTGCCGAAGTTAAGCCTTTGAATGGATTTCATTCTATTAATATATCAAAGGCCACAGGTACTTGTTTCCTAGCATTGTTATTATCATCCCACTTCTTCTTTGCACTATTGAACAACAGTTGTTGAACATTGATCATTTATGATTTTCAGTTGGGCCTCCTTTGAGACTGGAGCCCGTCTCTTGGCTTGGCTATGGAATAATTACTATTGGATTCATGCTCTGTATCATTGATTTTTTGAGAGCAGAAGCATCAAGCTATTCCCGTTTTCATGTAAGTACATCTGGAAGACAAGCAATTATGTGTCAGTGTAATACTTATTTGCTCCTTTCTTTCCTTTTGATAGGATTCAGAAGTACATGCTTTTGTCTTTTGCATTGAAAGTTTTGTAAGATCATTTCAGGTTGGTTAATGCCTTTAAATATTTTTTCTCTAGAAAACAGCCTTTAATTTTAAATAATGGTGATTGTTTTGTTCAACAGATGGCAATATATTATTTTGGTGGAAGAAAATATTTAAAGTACATGTGGATCTGTGTTGCAATTCTGTTCTTATCAGGTCTATCAGTGTGTGATTTAAGAGACAGATGGCAAAATGGTCTACGAATATTCATAACTGGCGCTTTGATATATTTGACCATTCAAAGAAAACATGAAATGAGACTTCCAGACTACAATGTTTAAGATCCACCACATTTCAAATGTGATCTTGACAGACTACATACCGTACATACTTCATGTATACATCAACATCACTGTTGAATGACAACTGATATGACTACAGGTCAGTAGTTGAGTGCCAGTCTCCTATGTCAGATTCTTGGAGTATACAATTTATCTTCAAATTTTATATCATAATATGAAATATTAAACAGTTTATATTTGTGAGACGAGCTACTTTTCATCATGTGCTAGACAAGCCAGTATTTTCAAACATCTTTGTGTCATAATTTTATTGTTAGTCAACTCCAAGTTGCAAAACACAACTTAAAAACTAAACTTAGCCAATAATTGGACCAAAAGCATTTGTTGAGTTCATAAAATGTGCTGACAATCTAAATTTGCAAAACTTAATTCTGAGTTAAACCTTTTTTTCTGAACATGCGACTATAACTTAATATGGTGTCATGGTCTGCCTGAACAGTTTGCATAAGCTATGATTATTAAAGCAGTATTTATAATCGTCAATATCACCATCATAAGTTGAATTTGCATGCTATTGTTTATGGTCGGTTTTCCATGTTCTCTTTTCCATGTATTCCTTTCTGAACTGTTAGTGGTTGGATTACTCAATACTTTTAAAGAAACTCGAGACTTCTTAGACTACCCATTTTATATGGTATGAAGAAAGGGCACCCTTCTCCCGTGATTTCAGTTGATGTTCATGTTCTTACTCATTCCCATCTCTAGTCCTGTGATATCACTTTATAAATTGTGTCATAAATCTTAGATGAATTGACATTTTTATTATTATTGCTCTGTGTGCATAAAGATGTTACAGTAATATGAGCCACTTACTTGAGGGTAGTAGATCTATTTTTTGGTATGTTTTTAGAATGTGAAATAGGAACACTTTTAGCATTCAACATCCATAGGTAATTTTCAAATGCCTTTGGAGCTTGCATTCCATGTGGTTGATGTAATTGTTTTACTGATGTTACCTTTGCTATTATTTTATTTTAGGAAAGAGTTGTGAGCAACAATTAAAGTTATCAGTCTATCTTGTAATTTAATCTGTTTCTCCTCAGAATACTTTTCTATGATGTTTTTGTCATAGGAAGTAGCACAAGTCATGAGACTAGGGCACAAGTGGAGATGTGCAGTTTGTCCCTGTTTGCTGTTATTGCACATGTATTGATCTTTTTGGGGGGCATTTTTAAACCTAAGGGTAATATTTTAAAAATAAATAAAAAATGTTGTTTGTATTTTCTTTTAACAAAATGCAGAGAAATCTCACGAAATAAATGTTTTTAAGTACGTCTTTGTTGTTCTTCGCCTTACCACCGGGTAAGTTTGAATTTGGCGCTCTTTCTAGCCGATAGTCCGACTTCCCCCTCCACCCCTATTTCCCCCTCCCCCTCCCCACCCCTTCGAACACCAGATGCCTACGTGAATGGTGGACGGAACGACGGAATCAGATTGTTGTGACGAGTTGTAAAGCCCCTCAAAGGTCACCGATCGTCTGCCAGCTGGGGTTATCAGTGCCTCTCGACCTGCGGTTATCATCCCACGATGTTTAACTTGTGTCGGCAAGCGCAGAGAGCCAAGAGGTAAACACTAGATAAGAGGCAGTGGAGTAGCCAAAGGGCCCGCCGTCGCGCGTAGCGTAGCGATAGCGAATAAAGACAATCGGCAAGGTGGCTCGCGACCGAGCCCACTGCTCGGCCCGCTTATCTCGAGGCGAGGGGCGTGCCAGTGTGGGCGAAGGGGTTGCTGCCTCTCGAGGTCCTTATCTCCACCTCGGAACAGGAAACTCGGGCCGAGGCGGCACCGCTCGACCTCGGGGCTGCGGGCTGCAGGCAGGTTGCAGGGGGGTTAGGTCAATTATTCTGCGCCCCGGTCGGCTCGTCATGTCGATCCAAAGGGGTCCCATCTCCAGGAGGACCGAGTAGCGTGTTGCCCATCCGCCCGCTTGCCGCCCTTCTCGTGTCACTCGACACTTCCAGTCCCAGAATGTTTCGCTGGCCCCACTTCCTGCTGTTCGGCTGTCCACTGTCCGCGGACATGTTTTTGATTCGGTCCGGTTTCAATCCCGGAGCTGCCACCCTGACTTTGATTAGCTCCCCCCGTCCGGTGGAAAATTTTGCTTTTCGACGTCCCTTTAACCTCCCTTGACCTTGTCAAGCGGCGCGCCCACCGCCGTGACGTAGGTGAAAGGTGTTGGCAAGGCTCCGTGAATGCCCGTGTCAGCTGTTTCGGTCTTGGAACGGGCCAGGGGAAAGGAGGGAAAGGGTTACACTAGATGCCATCAGTGTTTCTAACTCTGGTTGCTTCTGTGTCACTTTTGTCATCCGTTTCAACTTTATTTCTCTATAAAATTTGGTAGTAACAATTGTCAAATTTTGACATGTCTGTACATGATAAGTCTTCTCTATATCCTCAACAAATTTTCCAATAAAAAAATGAAGAGGAAAAAAATTTGAGAAAGTAATTTATAATTTGCGTTAAATCATGTGTGTCTTTGAGCTGCTTGGCCCTTTTTTTCTACGATCGAGTCATGTATTTTTTGTTCTCTTGTTTTTCAGCTTTCCAAACTCATTGCAGTTTGGCTCTCTTGTCTCGGTGGACAAAGTTCCTAATTTATCTGTAAAAAATGAACCGATTCTGGGTAAGTGCCCTTCACATAATTCTGTCTCGTGTAGAGTAGTCTCAACTGGGAAGCGCAATCTGTATCTTAAAAATGATTTGCGCTTCAGGGTACCTCCCAGGAAGCAAGGAGCGGAAGGAGTTGGAGAAGGCCTTGAAGGAAGTTGCTGCCACTGTTGAAGATGTTCCTATCGTGATTGGAGATGAAGAAATCAGAACCAAGAATGTGAGGCATCAAGTGATGGTGAGTTCTGCTGCTCCTTGATGACTTTAAACAATATGGGAAGAAGGGCAAGTCGAGTGAAATGTACTTCATATCACCAAAATCATAATGAAATTCGTAAATTTTTTTTTTCAGCCCCACAACCATTCAAAGAAGATTGCCCAGTATTACTATGCTACTCCAGTAAGTTATCAAAGAAATCACCACATGATTTCATATTGTACCATATGATCCATCCAGTTAATACCAATAAGACATACTTTGCCATTCATCTTTATCAAAAAAAAATTCTCCCAATTTTTTAGGACCTTATTAAAAAAGCTATCAGCACAGCCAGTGAGGCACAAAAGACATGGGACAATGTGCCAATGACTGAGCGCATAAAGATCTGGATGAAAGCTGCAGACCTGATGGCGAATGAGTACCGTGCAAAACTGAATGCTACCACCATGTTGGGGCAGGCTAAAGTAACAATTCAAGCTGAAATAGATTCTGCTTGTGAATTGATTGACTTCATCAAGTAGGTTCCATCATTTAAAATATTCAATCAATCAATCACGCAACCCCTCATCAAAAATTTTCTTTTTGCATTTTTAAATACTTATCCAATACCATAAACAACAAATCTTGTTTTCAGGTTCAATGCTTATCATGCAAATGAATTAGCTGACTACTCGCCTATTAGTCCCAATCCAAAAGAGGGAAAGAATTCCCTCAGGTACCGAGGAATTGATGGATTTATTGCAGCAGTTTCTCCATTCAACTTCACTGCCATTGGAGGAAACTTAGCTTACACTCCTGCTCTCATGGTACAAGACTGTTTCAAATGGCATAAAAATTTCCTAGTGAAATTGTTTTACGTGGAATTTTTCCTTTTTAGGGTAACGGAGTGCTGTGGAAGCCCTCAGATACAGCTCTGCTTTCAAACTACACCATTTTCAAAATTATGCGTGAGGCAGGTGTGCCTGCTGGTGTGGTAAATTTTGTACCTGCGTTGGGACCAGACTTTGGTGACACTATCACAAACTCTGAACATTTAGCAGGAATCAATTTCACTGGTTCTGTTCCGTAAGTATCATGAAATATTTTTCACTAAAAAATTAATGATGTTTGAAGAAAACTAATGCACAGTTTCCATCGCATAGTACATTCTGTCGTTTGTGGCGACAAGTTGGAGAGAAGATTAACATTTATCGCAATTTCCCTCGCCTGATTGGAGAATGTGGAGGGAAGAACTACCATCTAGTTCATAATAGTGCTGATATAACCTCTGTTGTAAATGGCACAATCCGTTCTGCCTTTGAGTATTCAGGTCAGAAGTGTTCTGCCTGTTCAAGGGCATACATTCCCAAATCCATCTGGCCTAAGGTAAATTTTAAGAAATCTGCACTTTATTCCCCCATTTATATGGTTTATATACTTTAGAGTAAATGTTCAATCAAATCCCTCTGAGCCTTCAGTTTTTTTTTATCATTTTTGTTTTTGCTAGGTAAAAGAAGGACTTCTTGCTGCAAGAGACCAACTCAAAATTGGAGATGTAACAGATGTAAAATCATTTACATCTGCTGTTATTGACAAAGCTGCCTTTGATCGTATCAAGGGATACATTGACTATGCACGCAGCAGTAAAAACCACGAAATAATTGGTGGAGGTCAATATGATGAAAGGTGGGTTGTGTTTTCATACCATTGAATCATCTGATCTAGCTATCAAAACAAATCATTCTTATTTGTTGCCATTCCAGCTCTGGCTACTTTGTTCAGCCTACCATTATTTTGTGTAATGACCCATCAGACAAGATAATGAAGGAGGAGATTTTTGGCCCTGTGCTGTCAATTTATGTGTATGAGGACAAGGACATTGATTCAGTTATTGATAATTTGAGCAATATTACTCCTTATGCTCTGACTGGTGCTCTCTTTGCTCAGGATGAGTAAGTGACTCTTATGCCAATGAACTTAGCGTAAGCCTAATGTTTATTTTTTTTGTCATGACAATCATGTTAAATTTGGAACCCCCTGTATTGCAGGAAGTTTGCCAGGAGTGCCATTGAAAAGTTGAAGATGACTGCTGGAAATTTCTATGTCAATGACAAGTCAACAGGATCTGTTGTTGGCCAGCAGCCTTTTGGCGGAGCAAGGATGTCAGGTACCTATTTCGCTTTTAATTTACAGATTTGAGAATCTTGTATAAAAATATTTATTGACTGCATCTACAATGTAAGATAGACATTCAATTTCTCTTTGATTGACTTTACAGGTACTAATGATAAGGCTGGTGGTCCCCACTATGTTCTCCGCTGGGCCAATCCTCAATCAATCAAGGAAACATTTGTACCTTTGACGGAAGTGAACTATCCCTACATGAAAGGGTAAAGAGATGTTGCTGATGGAAATAATCTGTGATAGGAAGAAGCAGAGCAAATCATCGCTGTCATGAAAAAAAAAAAATGTTTTCATTTCATGCAAAGTAAGCTTTTCCACCCTGTAATCCTGCATTATAGTATTTGTAAATGTACCCGCTTCTTGTTATTTTGTGCTGTTAAGTTTTTTAATGCTAATACCAACCAGATTGGAACAAATGTAGCTTCTATCACTCTGAAACAGATACTGTGTAAGTTGTAGTCAACTGATTACAACTCCAAGAAAGAAAGTAGTGTTTTTATTATTTGTGAAAGTTATCTGTGTAATTAAGGTATTATGAAGCTTGTGAAAATTTTTCACAAGGTTTTGGAAACCTTTTCTATTTTTAATCATGTTCTTGAGTTTTTTTTAAAATATGAAACGTTTGTGTCCTTTTTATCTCCTATCAGTTCCATTTAATTGTGAGAAAGACATTTTGATTAATTTTGTGATTCAGGTTGGGAAAGACCTTTTGCATTTTATATGTTTTAGTTATAATTAGTCTTAACCATCTAAAACATATGATCTGACAGAAATCTCTTTTAACTGGATGTTGTCCAGTGCTTGGTTTACCTATTGTGAAATAGCTTGTGATGTGCAGTACCTAGGAAGTTGTGTTTATTTCTTCTTTATGTTCTTGTGACAAATTTTGTTCATTTCTCTTTAGTTTGACTCAAATTATTGTGTACTTCAGAATAGTTTCAGTCTTTAAATTGTATTCAACCTTGAAGAGCAATTTTACCTAGTCAGTCAAGGCACTTGTATCAGGTTTGAATTTTGGGAATGGAATATCAGTTAGAGACTCCTTTTGTTTTGGTTGAAACCTTGTGAACAACATTACCAGAATCCTTCTAACTGGGAGAATGCAGGGCAGTTTCCTGATCAATAGAGCTTTATAGTACTTTTCTACCTCCATTGATGTACTTATGCAGTGCATCTAAATTCACAAGAAAAACGTGTTGTAACGATTGTGTCCATTTTTATTTTGGAAGATAGTGCATTGGATAATGTTTATTGCTGTAGTTATCTTAATTTTTGTTTTGTCCCGAATTTGTTTTTAAATAAGGTGTTCACACTAACGTTAGTTAGTGTATTGAGTTACCCATTGTTTTGTAATTAAATGTAGTACAAACTGAACTATCTCATTTTTCATTAAAAATGATTGTGGATATTGGAGTAAACATATGGTGTTTGATGTAAAATTCCCCCTCCCTAGTTATATCCCAGTATTTTCGTTTTGGAGAGTTCCTTTTATTTTTTTATTGATGCTCCATCTCGCCAACCCCTGGATTCCTGACAATATGTTATAGATAGCAACATTTCTCTTTTCTTTGCATCCAATGCCTTATCTTAGTAGATCAATTCTCTACAATGTGGTGTATGACATGACAGGTAGCTTTTGGTTTCACTATTTTAGGAACAATTAAAGATACAGATGTATTTCTCAAATTCTCAGAACAATATGTATGTGTTGTAGGAGTAGATTTTTAACAAAGTTAGGGTTTGATTGATAGAGTAAGTCCAATTGACATGATTGCTATTTTCACAGTAGATTTTTGAATGAATTTTATTGTGCTTTAGTATAATTATCTTTCAGTAAATGAAGTATGATGTACATATTTGTCCTAGTGTAAAACAATTGCAACTGCACGACAATAAAGCTGTTGAGAGTTTTTAATCATTCTGAGTTGTTTCCCCAACCTTCACCGCTTCACCATGCCGCACCGTCGGAGCTGCCCCGCCACCTTCTCTTTTTTCTCAGCTTGCGAGTTGAGTTCGGCTCATAAATGCCCCAAACCCAAATTGCGGCCGGCCTCTGAAGACCATAGAGAGTTGACAAACCCGTTCCCTGCCAACCTGTGCAAGAGAGAAGGTCGACGCGGGGACCGAGTGACGAGGCCCGGCCGCGGACTGCGGCTTTCAGACACGGATACGACTGCTCGCTACTCCTCCGCCGACTCGGTGCCAACGCGAAACGACCATTAGGTAACGGCCCAGCTCCGGAGAGGACGGAGGAGAGGGACGCCTGCGAACTCCAGGGTAGGCAATCCCGCTGTGCTCCGGTGCGCGGAGGTGCTACGGATTGCCTACCTCGCAGGCTGGGTCGGAGCCCCTGCGAACTCCAGGGTAGGCAATCCCGCTGTGCTCCGGTGCGCGAGGTGCCACGGATTGCCTACCTCACATGCTAAGGCTGGACCTCTAGGTCGAGCCGAACCTGGCCGCGTGCTTCAGCGCGTCGGTCAGGCCTAGGCCCTAGGCCTAGGGTCTTGGGCCCAAGCCCAGCCCAGTCGGCCTGCACCATGGCGAGGGCCGCCTCGAGGCTCGCCCTGCCCTCGGCCCTGCCGCCGCTGGCGTTCGCCACTCTGCTGGTTGCAGTCGTAAACGTGACGGCCGTGCGTGTCGCGCTGTACACTGTATGCACTTACACTGTAATGTTACACTGTGCGTTCTTGCACTGTGTGCATCCGATGCGGTCGGACTGCCAGGGTTTAGACAGCGGCGTGCTCTTACCGGTTCGCTGTCCTGCAGGGACTTCAGGGACGTGTCCGCGACAAGAACAAGACCAACGAGGTGCACGCGTTCGGAGCCAAGGAGCCCGGCGACGTGGAGCTGTTCACCAAACTCGTGAGGAGGAAGCACCTTCCCACTAAGGTAGAGAGTCCAGGGCAGCTACGAGAGGACAAATGTGAAAATTTTGCAAAGTGTGTGCGGGCTGAGGTTCCCTCGTGGGGGCTTTAGGATCAAGGGAAGACAAGTGCTGTGATGTGGCAGGCTCAGAAAGACAATAGTCCTGCTACAGTTGGGGTGGTATGCGAATAGATTTTGACCGCCTCCACCGGCGCACTGTGCACCTGCCCCCTGTGCCGCAGGGACGGCTGGACGCGGTGCGCTACCCGCCGGGCGGCGGCGAGTCCAAGAACGTGGTGACGCACGTGGAGGTGTCGGTGCCGCAGCGCACGCTCACCAAGGACGAGGTGCACATCACCGAGGGCGGGCCCGGCATGAGGTTCGTGGCCCTCACCGTCGGGGGACGCCGCAGCTTCCTCGTCGACTACACCGTGACGGTGTTCGGCCACGAGGCGGGCGTCGCCAAGCCGGAGAAGGTAGAGCGCCACCGGGACTTGCGGCAGTGGCGGACCCAGAGGCGCCCAGGGGGCAAAGTAGCATTTAGAGGATAGATATGGCTTTTGGTCCACCCCTCAAGCGGTTACCCCAGCGGTTCCCAACCTTGGGGTCGCGAAAAAATTTCGAGGGGTCGCGGCGAGGTGGCTGGGGTCGCCTGGGGTCGCGGTGTTTTCCCGGCTGGCCCACACGCCGAGCACTGGCTGCTTAAATGCCGCAAAGTTGATCAAAACGGTCACAAATGTCTGTAAAAGATCGTGTTTTGGGCCGACTTTAAGCATCCACTGCGTCTGATCCGAGGCGGTAAATCGTCCTCCCTCAACGGGCAATTGGTCTTTGGACCTTCCTTTTGCATGCCTTTGTTACGGAGTGTGATTATCTGCCTTAGTTTGGAAGCAGTACTGCCGCAAAGTTGGTCTAAACGGTCACAAATGTCTGTAAAAAAATCGTGTTTTGGGCCGACTTTAAGCATCCACTGCGTCTGATCCGAGGCGGTAAATCGTCCTCCGTCAACGGACAATTGGTCTTTAGACCTTACCTTAGCATGCCTTTGTTACAGAGTGCGATTATGTGCCTTAGTTTGGGAACAGTTTTGCCGCAAAGTTGATCAAAACGGTCACAAATGTCTGAAAAATCGTGTTTTGATCAACTTTGTGGCAAAACTGCTCCCAAACTAAGGCAGATAATCGCACTCCGTAACAAAGGCATGCAAAAGGAAGGTCCAAAGACCAATTGCCCGTTGAGGGAGGACGATTTACCGCCTCGGATCAGACGCAGTAGATGCTTAAAGTCGGCCCAAAACACGATTTTTTAAGACATTTGTGACCGTTTTGATCAACTTTGCGGCAATACTGCTCCCAAACTAAGGCAGATAATCGCACTCCATAACAAAGGCATGCTAAAGGAGGGGTCGCGTGGGGTCGCGAAATTTTTCCTGGGGGTCGCGGAAAGTTTTGGCTACAAATTTGGGGTCGCGAACCGCAAAAGGTTGGGAACCGCTGGGTTACCCCCTTCCCTGCATTTCCCCTTTCTGCCCTACCCGCGCCCGATTTGTAGCTATCACCGCCGGCGCCAGCTCATTGGTGGAGCCGTGGAACTTAGAATCCTCAGTCTGGCTTGTCACCGGTGTTTGTCCGCAGCACGCAAGCGGTGGCGGTTCCACGGAGCCAGCGGCAGCGACAGGCGGCCCCACGGAGGACGCGGCCGCCGCCGAGGGAAGTCCCGACAAGCCAGACGACTCCCCGTGACACCGGCCAGTGCACTGCGGTGCCCACACTGGCAATTACTGCCCAAGCAGGCAAGCCTCAAGCCTCGGTGCGGCCAATCCGGGAAAGGGTCCCGGAATGGAAGACATGCACGATTACGGCTACTGCTGACTGGACAGGGATGCGCGTCAGATATAGAGAGTGAGAGACAGGGAGAGCATGATTACAGGTCTCTTGGTTGTTGTTTTCACTCAAGACTGGAGTCCAGAACGAAATAGAACAAGTGGTTTAATGACTGACATAAATTTTATTGCACAGTTTTTGTGTCATCTCACCCGTTTGGATCACTTTAATTGCAATATTATCACATGATTATATTGGTTCTCTCATTCTAAAAGAAAACCTAATAAATGCTTCACAGGTACAATATATTACCATAGATGTATATCTATATTCTACAACATTAATTATCTCCACTGAATTGAAACACATTTAGTTCATTGCAAATAAAAATAAAAACATAAAAAACAGTTATTTAAAAAAAAGCTCAGACAATCTCTGAAAGTTTTTCCTTAATTTCCAAAGCAGAGGCCCACACACACACATTTGCCATGATTTTCTTCTTACTTTCTTCATCTGTTTGAGGGTCTGTTAAGAGCTTTTCCAGGGAAAATCCTTTCCTAGGAAACACATGATCAATTCGAGACAGTTTAGTACTTGGACAGTAATCATTTCTTCCATCTCCAACATAAGCGACACTAGAGAATGTTACTCCTTCCTCGTGCCTTTTCTTCAAATGCTCGTCAAGAACCGAGCCTTTACATAAATTCTCAGGACACTTGTCACACCAATTTTGACTATGATACATGGTTATATTCAGTAATCCGGATGAATCAAAGACTGCTTGATTGGTATACACAGAATGGACGGAATCACTTAACTTCACATTGTCAAGCCAAGTTTGAATGAATATTGAATTGGAGTCTGAGATGATTATGATTTCAACTTCTGGGTTATCCAAAAATTGGAGTAAATCCATCATTCCGGGCGTTGGAGGGATGTTCTGAAAAAAATAGGAAGAATGTTCATTGGTTCAAAAATGAAATAGTCTTAAACCAATAATTAAGAATAAAAACTTACAGCAATAGTATCCAAGTAGAGGGACTCTGTCGCTCCTTCTTGGTGAAGCAGGTTGAAAACATTTTGCATGTATGTTGTCCAGCTTTCAGCTAGTTTGCATTCCTAATTTGTTGGCAGGAAAATAATAACCATTCAGTTCAAACGCAGTAGTGAAAAAACACTCAAATTTCATAAATTGATTTTAGATTTTATTTGAAAATAAGTTAACCAGATAAAGCAGCACACGAAATTAAGATATGAGAAGCTACTACAGTGGACGAGTTGACTTACTGGTGGCTTAGTTTGTAGAAGTTGCCGTACAACAGTGTCACTGTTGCCATCGATAATAGTGTGATCAAAGTCAAAAGCTATGAGTAACTTCTTGACCATCTGCAAAGAAGCATGGATTTAACTTCAAGTATTCAAGTAAAAGAAGAAAATTCAGCCTTCAATGGGTATTTCATCAGAAGATAAATGAATGAAAGACGAATCAAAAACATAACCACTACATGACATATCGTTTTGTAGACATCTTCACCTTTGAGTTGAATGGCAGCTGGTAGTTTCTTTGGAACTTGTGGCAGTGATTCAGCTGCGAAAGAAATTTGAAGTTTCTGAACGCCAGTTCGAGGAGAATTTACGAACAAGACGTGAATGTCTGACGTTTGACAGACACAAGCAAGTTTGTTTGTGTAGTCTGGCCTGAGTAGTGGGTTCGACCCTTCGCCACGGGGAGCGCTGCAGTCGCGAAGCCACGTTCGCGCGACTTTACGAACATGCGCGCGGTACGGGCAAAAACAAATACAGAAACGAGAAGGCTTGGGGTAACAAAACATTTAATACTCAACTAAAACAACAATGTACAAATTGACAAAAACAATTAACAATGACTAATAACAACAAAACTACAGTATAACACAGTCAAAGGCGACAGGGGTGCGGCTTGATGTTGCCAGCATCCCTCGTACTCAGCCCCACGAAAAAGTTAAATAAAAAGTCTTGATCAAATCAAAGAACACACGCCAGAGCCAGAGCACTCTTGAGATCGGGAATGAAACATCCTGGTGCTGGATCCTGCGAGCCCCTCGAAGATGGCCACCGGTCACTCAAAAAATAATCCAAACAACATTATTTTTTCGTGACCGGCACCGTTCCCGAATAACGCGGTAGTTGGTGGGGTCCGCGGCGCGCTGGTGGCGCCACGGCGGCGGACCCGGCCTCCTAGCCGTACTGCCTGAAGTTGGCGTAGCTCTGGCCGGTCTGCGTGGAGAAGGAGCCCTTGAGGGGCGGCGACGCGGTTGCCTTGACGCCGGCGCCGAAGAGGCTCTTGTGGCTCTGCTGGATGGGCTGCTGGGGCTGCTGCGGCTGCTCGGCGGGCTGGCTGTACGTCGAGACCTCGGGGCCGGCGCCGTGGGACGCGGAGGGCTCGCCGGACAGCTCCCTGAAAAGCAACGAGTGCTGTGACGGCGCCAGCGAGCTGCACCCACCGCGAGGCCAAAGTTCAGATTAAGTTCATTTCGCGGGAACGATTTGCATAGAATAACGGCATTTTGTTAGTTGATGATTTTTAGGGGAGAGTTTGTGCAGGGTGGTAGCCTTGTGAGTGTTATTGTTATTTATGCATTCCGTTCGATCGGGGGACTGGCTGGCTCACCTGAAGTGCTGCGCGTGGAGCTGGTGGGCCTGGGGCGAGTTGAAGGACAGGGTGGGCTGGTGGTGCACGGTGGGGTGGTAGCGCTGGCCGCTCTGTGCCGAGGCCGCCGGCAGCGCCGCGGGGACGTACTGGACCTGCTGGTGCACTTGCTGCTGCAGCTGCGGCTGCAGTTGGTGGGACTGCAGCTGGTGGGACGGCAGCTGGGGCTGCAGGTAGGCCATGGGGATCGGGGCGTGCTGGTGGAACAGCGTGCCCAGCGACATCTGGTGCTGCAAGTGCGGCTTGCCGGAGGGCGTGTAGTAGGCCTGCAACACGGGGACGCCAGGATGAGGATGTTGTTGACGAGCAGGACGTGCGCTCGGCGAAGTGGCGGCGGAGGCGGCAGCGCGCGGGAGGAGGACGACCAGCGGACTCATTCCGAGAGTTGCCGCCATCGCTCTGCCTCTCTCGCACCCGTGCGGGACGCCCCATGAGTGCGAGAGAGACAGAGCGACAGGGCACCCCGGCCAGGAAAGGCGGCACGACGACCCTCTTAAATCAACACGTATCGCCGCACCTTTCCTATCACGTATCGTGGCGGCTCCCCCTCCCCCTTCCAGTGGTGCGTGGCGGCGTGGCGCACTGCACTGCAGACTACACGGCGGTGAGAGGCAGCGGCCAGTGAAAGGGATTTGGGTTTACTGGCGGCGAAAAGGAGAGTGGCGCTCGGCCAACGCGTTGGCGACGGAGACTGATGCGCGCAGCGCGCAGCTCGAGGCGCCGCTTCCAGGACGTCCTGGACTCCGGCCGCCGCCCCAGGGCCCCGCCAGGACCCCGCCGACAACGCATTCCAGGACACACCGAGCCCTGCACAGTGTGCCGCACAGGATGTCACGTACTCGTGACCGGGGCCTTTGCGCCGCCAGCCGCTTGGCGCCGCAGCCTCGCCATCAATGATGACTTTCGCGCGTCCAGAGTAATTTAAAAGAAAGAAAGAAAAACTGCGCGGTCAGCAAAGGCGGTGCGGCGGTCTGCAATCCGCCGCGAGCAAGCCGAGCAAGCCGGCAGCGCGGAGCAGCGCGGAGCAGCGCGGAGCAGCGCGCACTGCACTGTGATTACTGACCCGCCTCGAAGCCCTAATGCAGGTCCGGCAAGTCCGGCCGGACCTCCGGCCTCTCCGCACGGCACCTCTGGCACCTCCGCACGGCCGTCCAGATGGAGGCCGGCCGGCCATCCAGTGTTGCGTCACCGAGCTCCCCGATGACGCCCCCTCCATGTGGAGGCTGCGGCGCGCGGCGCGTCCAGGCCTCGCCTCGCCGTCGCCGTGCTGTAAAGCCCCGAGGTGTCCCGCATTGCCGCAGCGCCGCAGGGCGACCGCGCGGCCAACTATGACGCAATAACGGTAACGGCCCCGCCCCGCCCCGCCGCGCTCGCGGGAAGTAAGATGTAAGTATAACGTGTAATGTGCGAGCGGCCGCGCGTAATGCCCTTCCCCAAGCCAAGCCCTGGGGCGGGGCGGGGCGGGGCGGGTACTGGCAGCCTCGCTGGCGGAGGTGGCGCTGGCGACCGCAGAGCGGCGCTCCCACGATCCCCTGTCCCTCGTCCTGCGGAGCTGGGCTTCGCGCAGAGTGCAGTCCTCTTCCCATACAGTCCACGGCGAGTTCCGGGGCTCCCATGGAGACCTGAAGATTCCATAGAGTCCTGGAGATTCCATAGAGTCCTGAAGATTCCATAGAGTCCTGGAGATTCCATAGAGTCCTGGAGATTCCATAGAGTCCTGGAGATTCCATAGAGTCCTGGAGATTCCATAGAGTCCTGGAGATTCCATAGAGTCCTGGAGATTCCATAGAGCCCTGAAGATTCCATAGAGTCCTGGAGATTCCATAGAGTCCTGGAGATTCCATAGAGTCCTGGAGATTCCATAGAGTCTTGGAGATTCCATAGAGTCCTGGAGATTCCATAGAGTCCTGGAGATTCCATAGAGTCCTGGAGATTCCATAGAGTCCTGGAGATTCCATAGAGTCCTGGAGATTCCATAGAGTCCTGGGGATTCCATTGAATCCTGGGTATTCCATTGAATCCTGGGCTCGCGTAGAGTTCAGGGGATTACATAGGGGGTCCATCCATGTAGTCCGGGGGCTTTCTCAGAGGCACGTATTTTGTGTCCCTCGTCCCCCCAAAGGACTGCAATCTCGCTGGGCTTCCTATGCGGCTTCAAAGGGCTCATTGATGAGAGCAGTGCAGGCACACCCCGGCCCGGCCGCCGTCTGCAGCGCTAGCAGCGCTCTGCGATCGGCCGAGGCTTGTGGCGCCGCAGCCCGCGAACGTCTTATTAGCTGTTTTGTTTGGCTGGCTTGTAGTGTGTAGGCTTTCGCAGAAAAAAAAGTAAAAATAATAGCAGCCCCCACCGCCATCTAGATCCGAGTCAGCGCTAAATCACGGTCAGGTAGACCGTCCGTCTCTCTCGCACGCACACCGCCCCGCCCCGCCCCGCCCCGCCCCGCCCCGCCCCGCCCGCCCCGCCCCGCCCCGCCCCGCCACGTAACGCGCGACGCCCGGCCCGCCACTATCGAACGAGTTTATCGCTCTGCCGCCGCTCCAATGAGAAAGTAGTATTTATTTTTAAAAAGATGAAATGTGGGGACGCGTGCCAGGACTGCCAGGACGCACTGCCAGCCACACTGCCAGCCGCGACCAGGTGCGGAAAGGGAAACTGCGTCGCACAAATTGGCAAATTATGCAGGTCGATGAAGTCATGCTTCAAGTGCGTCTAAAAAAAATATTGAAACATGAAGCCCGCTCGCCCAGAATTTTATAGCTAGTACGTATTAGGAAGAGCAACAGTTTGTTTTATGACTGTGATTGGTCAAAATTACTTCGTACTACTCATCAATATCCCTGATCAGAAAGACAACAACCGGAGTCACAAAGTGAAAGTAAATGCTAAGTGTATATGGTCAAATTTAAAAAAAAAACTGCAATGTTTGAAATTTTTTTTTTAAATTGGGAAAGGAAGAAAATAAATACATACATAGAAAAACCCTAAGGCCGGAGGAGTGGCGACGAAAGTCCCAATTAAATCCGAGTGGTCCAGCAAGACGTGCCGTGGCGTGGCGTGCCGCCGAGTACAAACCGTGCTGGTAATAACGCGGCGCCGCGCTGCGCCAATCAGCAACGCCGTGATTGTATTAGTAATTGCTGCCATGCGATCGACTTCCGCCTGCAGCACACAGAGAGAGAGAGAGAGAGAGAGAGAGAGAGAGAGAGAGAGAGAGAGAGAGAGAGAGAGAGAGAGAGAGAGAGAGAAGAGAGAGAGAGAGAGAGAGAGAGAGAGAGAGAGAGAGAGAGAGAGAGAGAGAGAGAGAGAGAGAGAGAGAGAGAGAGAGAGAGAGGGGGGGGGGGAGACAGCCTCGCTAATACACTAATACGCTTACACACACGTACAAGTGTGTTCGCAAACTCACCCACACACGTGCACGTGTGTTCACACACTCTCTCACACACACGTGTGTGTACATACACAGCGAAAGGGGGAAAGGGAAAGCCAAGAAAGAAGAGGTAGAGGCGCCCTAAATGGACCGTGCATGGGAAGAGGGACGAGGCGAGTGCAGTGGCGCCGTGGGCACGCCGTGGGCCTGGGCGGGCCGCGGGGACGCGGAGGACGACGAGGACGACGAGGATGGGCATGTGCACGGCGGGGACGGGGCAGAGCCGCGCCTTCTCGCGACGAGCATCAGTCTCTCGTTGAGGTGAACCGCCAGCAGACTGATTCCGAGAGTCGTTTCCGTCGCTCTGTCTCTCTCGCACTCATGGGCGGCGTCACATATAGGTGAGGCAGAGCGACGGAAAAGACTCTCGGAATCAGTCTCCAGCACAGCGCGAGCACAGCGGAGTCGGCACAGCACACACGTACGGCGTACGGTGACCATGCGGCTCGTCGACCTCCTCGCCGGGTGCAGCGCCCATGGCGGGGCCATGGCGGGGCCATGGCGGGGCCTCCTCGCTCTGTCTCTTTCGCACAGGGGGCGCTCAATGGGTGCGAAAGAGACAGAGCGTCCTCGGAGGACAGAAGACAGGCAGACCAAGAGGACTGCGTGAGGTGACCAGCCTGATTCTACAGGAGGGCATCTTCACCTCTCGCACTCACATTGGACGTCCCGGGGCATACAGGTGCGAGAGGGATAGACCGACGGCTGCACTGCGCGGAATCTCTCCGCAGTCCGAGGCGGGGCGGGGTGGGGCGGGGCGGGGCGGGGCGGGGCGGGGCGGGGCGGGAACGCCACCGCGAGGCGGCCCGTCCCGCCCGTCCCCGTCGTCCGCGGGGTCAGCGTGGAGGGTTAATAAAAAGTGGCGGACCGGAAATGGCGAGGAGGAAGAAAGAGGAAGAAGAGAATGAGACTGTCGCAATTCGCGTTTCGCATCGCGGAGGTCGCGCGAGCGGGGAGGCGCGAGTGGAGCGGCGTGGAGCGGCGCCGGCGGGGAATCGGATCGGCGAGTCGGACTTCGCGAGAAGAAAGGTCTTCGAGTTGCCGCTGCAGATGCAGATGCAGGTGTGCGCCAAAGCGTCAGGCTGAATTTCTCAATTTTACATGCAGTAAAGTACACTGTCAAAAATAATTAGGAAAATCCCGGAGGTCTTGTGGACAGCGTAATCTAATCTGGCACTCTGTCAAGGTTTGTCCGAAGCTTCGTTTTCCACATTGCGCCACTTTGCACCCGAAAACTTTGGGGAAAACGCTTCAAATGGGGACTTTTGGTACCGTTCGTTTTCGCCGTGTAGGTACTCTCGGGGGAAGTCCCGGACTCACCTGGATGTGGTTGGGGTGCGGGGCGATCTGGAAGGCGGCGACGTTGCCGTTGGGCATGAGCAGGTACATGACGTGGGTGGGCACGATGGGCGCGGCGGGCGCGGCGGACGCGGCGGCCTGGTACAGCAGGTGCTGCTGCTGCTGCTGCAGGTGGTGGTGCTGCTGCGGCGCGGCGGGCTGCTCGAACCGGTAGTGGTGCTGCTGCTGGTGGTGGTAGTGCTGGGGGTGGTACGCCTGCTCGGGCTCTCGCTCCTCCTGCTGGTGCTGGTGTTGCTGCTGGTGTTGCTGCTGGTGCTGGTGGTAGGCCGGGTGGCCCTCGGGGCGTTCCAACGGCCGCTGCTTCAGCAGCTCGGACTGCAGGTTGTCGCGCTCGATGTCCTCCAGCTTGACCTGCTTCTCGCGCACGCTGCGCAGCGCGCTGCCCCGCGGCGCCTGCAGCACCACCAGCAGGGCGGCGAGCGCGCACGCCAGCCTCGTCCAAGCCTGCGGGTCAGAGCAGGCATTCGACCAAAAATTAATTTAAAGCACCACAACACAGTAAAAATTTTACGAAGAATCGCTTCGTAAAACGAGAAAATTGAAGGCATTGTAAAATTGACGAAGACATGCTTTGTATTAAAATTGTACAGTGGGTCGTCACCACTCGGCAAGTCAAACGTATGTGCCAGTTCAGAAAACTCACAAACTGTATGCAACATTTATAGAGTGACCAATAAATCCAAAAGTACAGCGAAGACTTTTTTGGACGATGTGGCACACTAAGCGAGGTGCGGAGCATTGTCACAAACTGCCCCCCCCCCTTTCCTCTCACGCACTCCCTTTTCCTTGTTGCACTTCCTCGCACTCTCCGTTATCTTATGCGCGAAAGTGGAAGCGAAGCGAAGGAGGATCTAAGGCAGCTCACTGCAAAAATTTGCTGTCACTCCATGGCAAAATCGTGGATGACATTACCGGTATCATCAAAGCTCCTGTAGTTATTACATGGGCGCGATGGCAATGTCATCGATTATTGTTTCGATGACGTTAAGGAAAGTTAGCCTCGACACTGTCATCAAAGTGACAACCACGGGTATTTTGACAGTGTGCTGGCCGCTCACCATGTCTGCGAGTGTGGCGGGTGTCGGGGACGCGGTGTGCTCCAAGCGCGGCTTGACGGCGACTGGCGCGCGCCCGCCGCCGCCCCGCTATATAGACGGAAGGGGCGCCTCCACCTCCGCGGCGGTCGGGCCGGGCCAGAGGCTGCAGCCTGCCGCGGCCTAGGGGGGCGGGCCCACCACGCCACGGCACCACGGCCTGCGAGGCCCGCCGCCGCCCCTCCCCGCCGGGGGTCCGGCACAAGCAAACCTCCGAACGTATCGGGGAAGGTATCACGCCGGCCCTGGGAACCTCCAGGAGACACCGCAGAGACACCGCGGAGACACCGCAGACACCGCGGAGACACCGCGGAGACACCGCGGAGACACCGCGGAGACACCGCGGAGACACCGCGGAGACACCGCGGAGACACCGCGGAGACACCGCGGAGACACCGCGGAGACACCGCGGAGACACCGCGGAGACACCGCGGAGACACCGCGGAGACACCGTGGAGACACCGCGTACACTGAAAAACCAAACGTGGTCCAGACCGCACCACTGGTGTGGTCAGATGGATGCCATTTTGACCACATCAGTTGGTGTGGTCTAGACCACGTTTGACGACGGATGGTGCGGTCTAGACCACACCAGCTGGTGTGGTCAAAATGGCATCCATTTGACCACACCAGTTGGTGCGGTCTAGACCACGTTTGGTTTTTCAGTGTAGGTACCGCGTACCGCGTCGAGGCGAATCTCGGCACGCTGGCACTGTCAAAAACAACACTGAAAATTGAAAGATGGCAAACAGAATTTCAGTGAGAAATATTTCTCACCGTTGGGTGGCGAGAATCCAAATTTTCGCCAAATTTTGGCATGGATAGTTACCGTGTGGGTCCAAAGCCAGCCAAGTGGCAACGATTTGCCCGCACCCACAGTAACTACATTTTTCTTGCCGTGCGTGAACTGCTTCCGAGTGGGTGCACTGCTACAGTAGTAAAGGCGCCCTTTTGCAACCGGGTACTGCGCGGCGCCCCAGCCTGCTGTCATCCTCCTTGCCATCCGTTGCCTCTAGTTGCCGGCCGCCCAGGCCACCTCCTCATCCTCGTCCTCGCCCCGCCCCGCCCCGCCCCGCCCCGCGCCGTCCCACGCGTGGCGCACTAAAGGCGATCCTTTCACTGGCAGAAGCGTTATTGAAACAGGCAGGTAATAACCCCTCCGGTTTGGACGCGAGCTCGCCTGGGGCAGCCTGCCTGCGCCTGCACTGCAAGCTCGAGGCCGGGGCCGAGGCGAGGTCGTTAACAGCCGCTAAAATTCGGTATGCTACCCCCGACTGTCGCATTTCTTTGCTTACACTACACTATACAGCACGGCGGGCTGCTTAGAAGGCGAGTGTCATAAACTGCCCATTGTGCCGCTACCATACGGTCGCACGGTCCCATAGGCACCTCCAGGTAGTATTGATGCGGTGAAGTCGGAGTGCCCCTGGTGGTCACGTAGGTGCAAATCCAGGACACGCGTTGTTACGTTCCGAGCCCTTGGGTCGTGGCGGCGACGTTCGCTCTGTCCTACTCGCACTAATGGCGTGCCCTAGGTGTGCGAGAGAGACAGACAGAGTGACGCTGGCCGAGCCCACACCGCGTGCTGCAGCGTATAGCGGAGTACCGCCTCATGCAGTTCACCTGGCGTGCCCCCTCTCCCTGCAACCGATCCCCGCAGACCGATTCCGAGAGTCGTTTTCGTCACTCTGTCTCTCTCGCACCTATGAGGGTCGACCCCGCGAGTGCGGGAGAGACAGAGCGACGAAGACGACTCTCGGAATCAGTCCGCGGGGATCCCGCGGCTTCTCGTTCACTTCCGGCCGGATCAGGCCGGGGATCGCGGGGAGCTAGAGAGTGACGGGGCGGGGCGGGGCGGGGTGGGGGTGGGGCGGGGCGGGGTGGGTTTAGCTTTGGCACGCGGCATGGGCGGCGCCAAAACCCTCATCCGCCAGTCCGCCAGTGCGGCGTGCAGCCAGCAGCGCCGCGGTCCGCGGCCTGCCGCCTTGACTGCAGTTCCGGTCGGGTCGGGATGCAGTGCACGGAGCGCCAGCGGGATGCATCGGGATGCAATGAGCCAAACGCACTGCGGCGGGGCGGGGCGGGGCGGGGCGGGGCGGGACACTCCTGGGTCGTCCCCCGTTCTTCGGGGAGCAGGCTAGGCTGGTTGATGGCTCGGAGCCTCGCTCGGAGCTCGGAGGCTGCCCTGCCAGCCTTGCCCACCTGCACGGGATTTCTCGTCTGCGCCAAAGTAGAGGAGCCTCCTCTCAGAAGTTTGCAGCACACCGTGCTACTGCTACTACTGTTGACGCACCACTCGCGAGAGCGGGCGAGCCGGGTCTCTCACCCGTTCCCGAGGGGGTAACCACTCGCGTAATACCCTGTACACAAAAACCGTGTATTACGCGTAATACACGTGATCGTAATACCATTTTTGGGTCAAATGTGGCAAATTTGGGCATTTTAGGGCCGTAATACACGTGTAATACACCCGTAATACAGCGTAATACCGAGTAGTCTGTACACGATTTCTTGAAGTGTTTACCCCCTCGCCCGTTCCACTTTTCACTCTTCCTTTCGTTGAAAATTCTCAATGTTGATGGATTTTCGTCCGAAACCAAAAGGTCTAAAAAACCATCTATAGGTTTGCGCAGTTCATTTCACCCTCAAAAAAGTTGTTTTATTGAGTCAAAGAAATGTCGATGGGCCAATGAAAATTCGTTTGAATCAATCAATTTTCTTTCATTCTATAGAAAGGGGTTTTCTATGGGTGTGGGGCCCAAACAGAACCAGCCAGGACTCTGTCGGCGCCGGTGGGTAATCTATTTCCCCGAGGAGGTGCGACTGCCACGCCCCGCCCCGCCCCGCCCCGCCCCGCCCCGCCCCGCCCGCGACCACAGGTGTCTGCTGCTGCCCTGCCCCGCCATAATGCTGTTATGTGCGCCGACTCGGCGTGGCTCCGCGGCTCCGCGTTGCAGGAGCCAAGTTTGCAGCGTCGTCCCGTGGAGTGAAAAAACTGGAGCTGCGCGCGCACGGTGAACGAGGACCGTCTGGCCGGCAGTGAAGCGGTCCTAATGTCTTACTTTCGACGATGTGCCGAGGCTGCCTGCCTGCCTGCCTGCCTGCCTGCCTGGCTGCCTGCCTGCCTGCCTGGCTGCCTGGCTGCCTGCCTGCCTGCCTGCCTGCCTGCCTGGCTGGCTGCCTGCCTGCCTGCCTGCCTGGCTGCCTGCCTGCCTGCCTGCCTGCCTGCCTGGCTGCCTGCCTGCCTGCCTGCCTGCCTGCCTGCCTGCCTGCCTGCCTGCCTGCCTGCCTGCCTGCCTGCCTGGCTGCCTGCCTGGCTGCCTGGCTGCCTGCCTGCCTGCCTGGCTGCCTGCCTGCCTGCCTGCCTGCCTGGCTGCCTGCCTGCCTGCCTGCCTGCCTGCCCGCCTGCCTGCCTGCCTGCCCGCCTGCCTGCCTGCCTGCCTGCCTGCCTGCCTGCCTGCCTGCCTGCCTGCCTGCCTGCCTGCCTGCCTGCCTGCCTGCCTGCCTGCCTGCCTGCCTGCCTGCCTGGCTGCCTGGCTGGAGTGCGGAGGGCACATTGTCCTCCGCGTCTTACGGGGGACGGCATCCCGATGCCGGGCAGAGTCGCCCTGTCTCTGTCGCACCCCCTCGTAGCCCCCAAAGAGTGCGAGAGAGACGGAGCGTCGAGGAGAACATAGTTCGGAACCGAGCTGCAGGTGGTTCCCTCCGGTTCCCTCGGTTCCATTCGTGCAGGCAGGATTAGCGAACGGTAAAGTTTGCTTCCTGCACGCCACGCCACGCCACGCCACGCCATTCTACGCCACGCCGCGCGCCTCCCATCAGTAGTGTGACCATCGGCCGGCCCGACCAGCTCGGGACAAGTATGGACCCGGGGGCTTGGCCGGCGATTTCGCGTGGTTGTCATGCAAGCCTACGTCCAAGAGCAATTAACGGCAGTTAAGCGGCATGGAAAGTCTTAAGTCCATATTTAGAAAAGCGCGATCATATGACCCGAGTAGTTTCGATAGCAACTAGTATTCGCACAAGCTTCTTTAATATTTCTTCCTTCACTGTTAAAAACTTTTGCTGAAAATTAAGACTTTGACTTAAATCAATGTGCACAATCACCTTGACAACCAGCTTGACCCTGTTCTGAAAATTTCAGACTAAACTCTTAAAATTTATTAATTAATTAAATTTCCAAGTACATTTTGTACTTGAAAATGCTTGTGCCATGAACATGTTCTTGTCGTGCTCAAAGATGCCACTGGCTGAGGAAATCTTGCTCGTGATGACTGACGTGTCATGTCTTCGAACCGCATATTCAATAAGTTGGTTTTCATTTGAGCTACGCGTTAATCAGCCCATTTCGAAAGTGAAAAGTTTGCCCACGCCGGGACTGGCCCCTGTGGGATGAGGATGACTCCGAGAGTCGCTTTCCGTCGCTCCGTCTCTCTCGCACCTATACGGAACGCCCCATGAGTGCGAGAGAGACAGCAAAAGCGACTCTCGGAGTCAGTCTGCTGCCCCGCTTGACGGATGCCTCCATGGCTGCCAGTGTAGGGCAGTGCCGCCCGGGGAAATGGATGATCAGCACTCCGCCAACAGACAGACAGACAGACAGACAGACAGACAGACAGACAGACAGACAGACAGACAGACAGACAGGCAGACAGACAGACAGACGTGGCCCGACCGCCTCGAGGCCTGCCCAAATATGTAACGCGGCGACTTCGATCTTCCTCCGGCGTGGCGTGTTGCTGGACACCCTGGACTCCAGCGCACTGCTTCGTCGCTCTGTCTCTCTCGCACCCGCACGGGGCGCCGCACGAGGGCGAGAGAGACAGAGCGACGAAACCGCTGTTGAGCCTCCTGCAGCCGGCGGCCGCGGAACGGGCGCGAGAATGCCGCTGGAGGCGCGGCGAGGCGAGGCGCGGCGCGCGCACCCCGCAGTGGTCACTTCCGAAATTAGCTCGCGTGAGTGACCGAATGGATATCCGGGGTGTCGGGTGCGAGCAGCGGGCATGGAGCGCACTCTGGAGCCGCCTCGGGAGCCAGTCACGGAAACCACTGGCGTACGACTGCACTCCGAAAAAGAACGCTTATTGAAACAGGACAGTTATACTTGGAGCTGCTTGGAGCAAGGGTAATTTACCTCATGGCGAAGTAAATCATCCTGGCTCAAAATACATTTTCCCACATTCCATGTTATTTTTTTTTTTACATTCCAAGTTAATTTTCCACATTCCAAGTTAGTTTTCCACATTCCAAGTAAATTTTACGCACTCCAAGTATATTTTCGACTTCAAGTAAATTTTCGACATTCTAAGTATATAACTTTATCACATTCCAAGTAAATTTTGCACACTCCAAGTAATTATTTCTATTTCAAGAATTTTTTCTTGTGTATGTAGCTTGCTGAAGCCGCTGGTGCAGCGCCGCAGGGGGCACTGCACTGGAGTCCGCGCGTCGGCTAAAACTATACTTACAGTGGAGGAAACAAGCAGATTGATGTGCTAATAAGTGTTGTCTCACGGACGGGCGGATGCATTGCTCCGGGAAATCATAACCGTCAAAAGCGCCGCCAGGGCTACCCTCTCGAGACTCAATGTTGTGAGCCAAACTCCAGTTGTGAAGTCATACTTCAATAGAAACATCTTGTTAGTCAGGCAGACAGCAGAGCTGCAGTCAATGCTTCCGGCTGCGTTGTCCACATAACAAACTAATACAGATGCGGTAGGTACCCGGCGAAGCTCCGCCAACCGCTGCCGTTGCAAGACGCGTGTGGTGGTTGTATGGACTGGGGCATCGACTCCGGACTTACTCAGTACACGAGTTCACTGTTGAAAATATCTCAGAATTTTCCGAAGAACACTGTTGAGAAAACAATTGCCTCCAATTTTTGGATTCCAAACCCTTTAATGTTTCTATTTTGTGTATGAGTGACTGAAATTTCGATTCTTTGCCAATTCGCTTATTGTCAGCCTAACAAGGGGACAAGGAAAGCATTCTAGTCGCGTGCAGTTGCGAGCAACTACCCGTCGGCGTTGGTTTGTCATTTCGGAGGCTGTCTGGTCCCGGACAGCGTTTATGTCTCTCTCGCACCCCACAGCCTGCCATGAGTGCGAGAGAGACAGAGCGCGACGAAATCACTTATCGGGATCAGCCTGCAGTTCCTCGGCCCCTCGCGGCGACACAGCGGACTGCGACATCCCGCTGAGTCGACCGGCGACCAGCAGCCGTCGGATTCCGAATCAGGGAGGGTTCGTCGCCCTGTCTCTCTCGCACCCCTACCGGAGGCACCATGAGTGCGAGAAAGACAGAGCGTCTGCCCGGACGCAGCCCGCGCGGAGAATGCGCGTCCCATTCATCGGGCCGAAACGCGGGCAGGCGGACTGGCTCGGTCACCAGCTGCTGGTCTGCCGGTCACTGTGCCGCCGGGCAGGCAGGGCTGGCAGCCGCGGGCCGGGCGGGCCACAGTGGGCCAGAAGACCGGTGGAGGCGGCCAAAACTCTCGACGCGTTTTCAGCTCCAGAGTCGCTAAGCAGGACTCGAACCGAGCGTGTGACCCTACCATTGGATTCCTCGTTCGGAGAGCAATCCATTGGTGGGGTCATACGTTCGGTTCGAGTCCTGCTTAGCGACTCTGCAGCCCAAAACGCGTCTAGAGTTTTGTCCGCCTCCACTGGCCTTCTGGCCCACTGTGCGGGCCGAGCTGGCAGCCAGGCTCAATCCCGTTCTGCTTCTGAAATCAGTCCAGCTAGCCGCGCGGGTGCGACTTCCGCGTGGCCCATTAGCCGCGCGCACCCACGTATGTCCGACTGCGGCGAGCTGGCTCCGTCGCTCTGTCTCTCTCGCACCCCGACGGACCGCCCCACGAGTGCGAGAGAGACAGAGCGACGAAAGCGCCGTTCGGAAGCGGCCCGCTGCGGCCGCTCGATTATATCGATTTTCGCTTTGTGCTGCTCGTATTGCCTCGCTGCGTGGGACGCTCCACCGCCTTGTGCGGGAGCAGGGCGCGCAATCAGATTGTGGGATTACGAAACGGAGAGCCGGGCCGCCGCCTGCGAAGTCGAGGCTGGGCCGGCCCGCCGAACGCGCGTGCGTTGCGGGGGTGTCTACCCTCCGCTTCGCAGGCGCTACGCGGCCGGCGGCCTGCAGACACGCTCATTGCACAGTGAGCCAGAAGACCGGCGCCGGCGGACAAAACTCTAGACGCGTTTTGAGCTCCAGAGTCGCTAAACGGGACTCAAACCGAGCGTGTGACCCCACCAATGGATTCCTCGTTCGGAGAGCAATCCATTGGTGGGGTCACACGATCGGTTCGAGTCCTGTTTAGCGCCGCTGGAGCTCAAAACACGTCCGGGACTTTGACCGCCTGCACCGGTGTTCTGGCCCACTGTAGAACGCTCGGAATCAACCTGCTGGGCACGCGACACGCGCTCGTCTTAAGAGGACGTCGCCATTTTTCAGAAAGGACCTGGCGCTCACGTCCAGCCGATCCTGTATGAAAAATCGCGACAGCGTCGGGTCGTGTTACTTTTCACTTTACGCGCCTCGTGAGGCGCTGTGCTATTCATGCTACGTGAGGACACTGAAAAAATTGATCCATCGGCGGTGGACTTAAATTGTTTGTAGGAACCATTTCTCGGAAATGTTGTCCTTCATACTGTATTTAATTTAGCACCTAGCAAAATGAAATTCAAAGTCAAGAATGCTTCGGAGTTGCGGGTTCTTCAGAGTTTTCGCTGGATCCACGGACTTTCAACGTTTTTCGATAAAGTAGAAAATTTTCCGGAGTCTCTCGTGGCCTTCCCCGTCGAAACCGAAAGTCCCTTCGCCAGGGCATCTGCCATCACTGCAAGAAACCTTGGCAGCCGTTTCACAACGGGACCGGACTCGCGTATGTGTTTTTTGTTTGTTTTTTTCACGGATCATTTTTTCCTCGGTCCTCCGCGTAACCCGTCCTGCTTCTGCTTCCCCCGCGGTGATGACAATGGCCGTTCCGACGTATCGGCGCCCCGAAAGGCTTGCTTTCCTGTGCCGCTCGGCACGCGCCTCCCCGCCCACCGATTCCGAGAGTCATCGCTCTGTCTCTCTCGCACCTGCACAGGGCGCCCTACGAGTGCGCCAGAGACAGAGCGACTCTCGGAATCAGTCTGCTGTATGAAAGGAGACTGGCGCGTGGCCGTCATGCACGCACTTTTGCATCACGCCGCATCGCGTGTCGCAGCAGGCAAGGTCCCGACGCACAGTGGGCCACTAGACCGGTGGTGGCGGTCAAAGTCCCGGACGCGTTTTGAGCTCCAGAGTCGCTAAATGGGACTCGAACCGATCGTGTGACCCCACCAATGGATTGCTCTCCGAACGAGGAATCCATTGGTGGGGTCACACGTTTGGTTCGGGTCCTGTTCGCGGCGACTCTGGAGTTCAGAACGCGTCTTGAATTTTGTCCGCCCCGACGGCTCCGTGACTGCTACATCCAAATTCAGAATGTTGGTCATGTTGGAACGTTTATCTGGCCGCGCTCCGCTCCCCTCGCGGCCGGACTTCTTGCCTCGTCTCGTCGGGGACGTGCCCGCGACGTGCTAATGCCGAGTCGCCGTTCATTTTATTGGCCGTCAACTCCGCCCCGCGTTCAGGGCACCGTATCACCGCGCCGGCATCCACTTCCGGCTGAAAAAAGGCGAGTGGCAACCTCTCGGCGGCGGGCGATGGCGCGGCAGCCGTGGCAGGCTGGTCTGGTATTCGTTATTCGTAGAGCGATAGAGTTGCCGCCCGGCCAGACCGGCCGGTATACCGGTACCTCCAGGGCGTCCGGCGTCCAGGGGGCGTGGATGGCGTGGCGCGAGCCGCAGCAGACTGAGAGTCGTTTTCGTCGCTCTGTCCCTCTCTCTCTCTCTCTCGCTGGTCATGGGCCGTCCCGTGTAGGTGCGAGAGAGACAGAGCAACGAAAACGACTCTCGGAATCAGTCTGCAGCTGCTGGGTGGCCGGCATCGCGTTAACCCCGCGCAAAGAAAACCAGCGCAGCGACGTAACTGACTGGGCTTTTCTGCGCCGCCAGCGCCGCCTATACCCCGTCCCTGCAGCCAGCCCTGCAGCGCCGCAACCGCCCTTCACTTTCGCCGCGGAGTGGAGCTGTACCGGCGGCATGCGATGGACAGTGTCTGTCTGTCTGTCTGTCTGTCTGTCTGTCTGTCTGTCTGTCTGTCTGTCTGGCTGGCTGGCTGGCTGGCTCATCAAGTGACAACGAAAATTTTCAGTGTGGTCGGCATGCGACGGCTGGGGCGGCGAGGACGTGGAAGAGGTGAAGAAGACGGAGCACTGCTCTAGTCGCTCGGTCTCCTTCGCACTCATGCGGCGCGCCGTCTCGGTGCGAGAGAGAAAGAGCGACGAAAGCAGTGCTCGGAATGAGCCTCCTGCTGCCGGTAATGGATGACCACGCCGCCAGCGACGAGCAGGAGCAGCGCCTTCACCACTTGACCCGGCCGCTACATGTAGTCCTTTCAAAAAATCCGTTTTCACCGCTTGTTTAATTTATCAACACGTCGCTGAACCGGAGGTGCAGACTGATTCCGAGAGTCGTTTTCGTCGCTCTGTCTCTCGCGCACCCATACGGGACGTCCCATGAGTGCGAGAGAGACAGCGCGGCGAAAACGACTCTCGGAATCAGTCGGCAGGCTGTCAGCGAGCGATGTATGCGCTGTGGATCGCCGAAACCGCTCCAGAACCATAATCAGCACCTCTAGCAGGCACGCGGGGTAGGGAGGGGTCCAGGCGCGGCGTCGCGGCGGCCGGTCCGTTGCGCCTTGTCGCCGCCACTGCCGGCAGCACACTGCCTGCGCGCGCCGGATGGGTGGCCTACCTCACGGGCGGAGCCAGTCTGTCACGACGGTACGAGAGCAGTGCACAGTGGGCCAGAAGACCGCTGGAGGCGGTCAAAATCCCGAACGCGTTTTGAGCTCCAGAGTCGCTAAATGGGGCTCGTGTGGAATGCATATTGGTAGGGCCCTAGAATTTTGACCGCCATCGCCGGTCTTCCGGCACACTGTGCAGAGCTGCCACAAGTGAGGAACCATTCCCACGATGCACCAGAGACGAAAGGGTTGCCAACCTAGACCTGCCTATCGAAACTCATCTAAGTTGAGGCTGAGTCTCAGAGTGCAGTAGAGCTTTCTCAGTACTCACATACTTTTCCTCGTGAACTCTGAACTTGAACCCTAGACTCCGTTTTGTCGCCAGACGCCACCACTAAAAGAAGTCTAAGTTACAAGGCAGGCGCTTTCGGAAAGGCACGAAGGAATTTCTAGAGGTCCATTGTTGATCACTCTAAACTACTCGCAAGAGAATAAAAATGTATTTCGTTTGCGCATTGATTTTTCCTTTTTTTGTCACTGCATCCGCAGCCACTCCAACAATGCAGCCGCCCTGTTTGTTCCGTTTCCGCTCCACGAGACGAGGGATTCACACGCTCCCCGCCGCGGCTCGCCGTTCACCTGCAGACTGGTTCCGAGAGTCGTTTTCGTCGCTCTGCCTCTCTCGCACTCATGAGCCGTCCCGAATGGGTGCGAGAGAGACAGAGCGACGAAAACGACTCTCGGAACCAATCTGCTGTCGGACTCCACCGTTGCGACTCCATATCGAAGGCGTCGCCGTGGCGGCGGCGGCGGCCAGTCACCTCCCCGTCAACGTCCACGTCGTCGTCGTCGAGGTTTCCAAACGGAAAAGCGGCTCTGCGGCCATGCGCCGCGCCATGCCGCGCGTCGAGGCGCTGCCTTATTTAGGGCTGGATAAGAAAAGAGGAACTGGCGACTCTGGCGAGGCGAGCGGGGCGGGCCGGCGGCGCGTGGTCCGGTCGGGCTGGACTCGACCGCACTGCCGCACACCCTAGAGAGACCTAAAGAGAACCATAGAGACCCAAAGAAGTACTAGAGAGATCTACAGAAAAAATAGAGACCTACGGAGAACTAGAAAGACCTACGGAGAACTAGAGAGACCCAAAGGAGAACTAGAGAGACCCAAAGGAGAACTAGAGAGACCCAAAGGAGAACTAGAGAGACCCAAAGGAGAACTAGAGAGACGAAAAAGAGAACTAGAGAGACCTAAAGGAGAACTAGAGATCCCAAAGAGAACTAGAGATACACAAAGAGAACTATAACTAGATAGACCCAAAAGGGAACTAGGACCCAAAGAGAACTAGAAAGACCTAAAGAGAACTAGAGATACACATAGAGAACTAGATAGACCCAAAAGGGGACTAGGACCCAAAGAGAACTAGAAAGACCTCGAGAACAAGAGAAACCTAATGAGAACTAAAGAGACCTAAAGAGAACTAGAGAGACCCACAGAGAACTAGAGTGACCCAAAGAGCACTATAGTGACCTAAAAAGAACTAGAGAGACCTAAAACGAACAGGAGGGACCTAAAGAGAACTAGGAAGGGACCTCTGACACCCCACCCCACGGGCGCACGTGGTCCGGTCGGGCGGCCGCTGGACTCGACCGCTGGACTCGACCGCAGCGCCGCACACCCTAGAGAGACTAGAGAGACCACTCCGGCCCGGCCTCTCTGACACACCCCACGGCAGCGCCGCCGATTGATAGCTCCGTAAACGGCGGTCGCTATGAAGTGAAAGCGATCCCGCCTCTCTATCTCACTCGCACGGAGTATCGCCACGCCCCGACCCCACGGCACGGGGGCAGCCCGGGCCAGCAGGCCGCCCTGCAGACTGATTCCGAGAGTCGTTTTCGTCGCTCTGTCTCTCTCGCATCCATAAGGGACGCCCCATGAGTGCGAGAGAGACAGTGCGACGAAAACGACTCTCGGAATCAGTCTGCTTCCGTCGCCCCGGAAGTGAAGCAAGCGAGTGGACGAGTTTTAAGCGCCGGGGCAGTTTCTCGCGGCGCGCTCGCACATGGAACTATTCCAGTGCTGTTTTGTCCAGAAGGCTCGCGAAAACACACTGCACTGGAAGTGGATTTCGCTCTTCCTGGTTCGCAAGCGCGACGCCGCGACGCAGGGTTCCGGTCCGCACGGCGACACGACCGAGAGTGGGAAAGCTGCCTCTATCGAGCAATCGCTCTGTCTCTCTCGCACGCGTGGAGCGTGCCGTAGAGCCTTGGGGGTGCGAGAGAGACGGAGCGAGGTTGGCTGGTTCGATTGGCGGGGCGGCCGGCGCCAGCACTGCATGACCTGACGGTGCCTGGCGGCCGTCCGGGCTTTGATTGGCCACCCGGACCTCCCGGAGGCCGGTCCACTGCTATGGCGGCGTCCGGGACGGCCGCAAGTCCATTTAGCACTTCGTTTTAGCACAGGTTTCCGAAATCACCTTGCCTCATCGGTTGGCTTCCCATCATCTGTGTCTCTTTGCAGTCCAACCGCACCTTTCATGGGGTCAATTGGTGATTCACATTTTGCCCTCCCTGTGACACCAGTGTAAAATACTGAACCGCTTGCGAGGACTTTTACCTGAAACAGTCCCCGGATTTTTTAAAACGCTGCGGGGAAAAGGTGCGGAAAAAAATGCAACGCACAATAAAACAGTAAAAAACACGTATGTATTCTTAGAACTACACAACAATATTATGCTACATTTAAATAATCTCGCACCAGACGCGCGAGGCCGCGCGACCGCCCCCCGCGGGGGCCCCGCCAGCCCCGCCCCGTCCGGCGCGATCGACTAGGACACTGGCCCGCGGCAGCGCGCGGCAGCTGGGGCACCTCCTCCGCCACGGCACGACACTGTAACGCAACGTCCGCCGGAAGGCACGGCCGAACTGCAGACTGATTCCGAGACTCATTTTCGTCGCGCTGTCTCTGTCGCACTCACGGGGCGTCCCGTGTGGGTGCGAGAGGGACAGAGCGACGAAAACGACTCTCGGAATCAGTCTGCTGCCACTGCCAGTGCCGAACAACAAGTATAACAACAGCAGCAGCACAGCAGCCGCCTCGGGAGGTATGTACACCGGGCGGCGCGGCTGCGCAACAACAACAACACCGCATTCACAACGGCATAGCACCAGCGAAGTAACGGCGGGACACTTCCGCACCCGAAGGGTCAAAGAAGATTCTTTTTTTCTCTGTCTTCCATTTCCTGAGGCCAGGCCGGCCACTCGAAAGCCAGTCGATCATCACAGACTAAAAACCACGGCGGTCGCCGAGAATGCCTCTTCATCGGCCAACCCTGCGCCCGGCGGTCGACCGGCGGTCCCTACGCCTTGATGATGGTCTTGTAGGCGTGCTGGCCGTGCTGCTGCACGCGCGAGCCGTAGGGGCTGGCGGTGGGCGGGCTGGGCGGCGCGGGGGCCTCCAGGCCGACGGGGCCCTGCTGGCCCTGCTGGTGCAGCTGCTTGGGCACGAAGTGCGGCGGCCCGTCGTTCTGGGGGCCGTCGGGCTGCTGGCTCTGGAAGACGAGCTGCTGCTGCTCCGGGTAGAAGCGGCCCTGCTGCTGCAGCTGGTGCTGCTGCTGGTGGTGCTGCGGCCCGGCGTAGAACGTGATGAAGGGCTGCTGGGCCTGCAGCGCGAGCTGCGGGTGGTTGAAGTACTGGAAGCCGGCGGCGGAGGGCGCGGCGGCCGCGGGGGCGGACAGCAGCATCACGTACTGGGGCTGCTGCGGCGCCTGCGCGGGCTGGGCTGCCTGCTCGGGCTGGCCGCCGGGCTGCTGGCTGGCGGGCTGGTGGTGCGCCTGGTGGGCCTGCGGCAAGGCCTGCGGCTGCGGCTGGGGGATGATGTACATGAGCGGCGCCTGGTACTGCGGCACCTGGTAGTAGGGCTGGGGGACGTACTGCACCTGCGGACACGGCAACATCACACTGTAATCTACGACCGGCGGGCATGGTGCTCGAGACTCACGGCGACGCTACCACAAAGGTTAGTGCAGCGGTTCTCAACCTTTCTCGGCTCGCGACCCCAAATTTGTAGCCAAAAATTTCCGCGACCCCCAGGAAAAGTTTCGCGACCCCACGGGACCTCTCCTTTAGCATGCCACTGCGTCTGATCCGAGGCGGGCATTTTGCTCCCTCAACGGGCAATTGGTCTTTGGACCTTCCTTTAGCATGCCTCTGTTACGGAGTGCGATTATCAGTCTTAGTTTGGGAGCAGTATTGTCTCAAAGTTGGCCAAAACGCTCAGAAATGTCTTTAAAAAATCATGTTTTGGGTCGATTTTAAGCAGCCACTGCGTCTGATCCAAGGCGGGCATTTTGCTCCCTCAACGGGCAATTGTTCCTTGGACCTTCCTTTAGCATGCCTCTGTTACGGAATGCGATTATCAGTCTTAGTTTGGGAGCAGTATTGTCTCAAAGTTGGCCAAAATGCTCAGAAATGTCTTTAAAAAATCATGTTTTGGGTCGATTTTAAGCAGCCACTGCGTCTGATCCAAGGCGGGCATTTTGCTCCCTCAACGGGCAATTGATCTTTGGACCTTCCTTTAGCATGCCTCTGTTACGGAGTGCCATTATCAGTCTTAGTTTGGGAGCAGTATTGTCTCAAAGTTGGCCAAAACGCTCAGAAATGTCTTTAAAAAATCATGTTTTGGGTCGACTTTAAGCAGCCACTGCGTCTGATCCAAGGCGGGGATTTTGCTCCCTCAACAGGCAATTGGTCTTTGGACCTTCTTTTAGCATGCCTTTGTTACGGAGTGCGATTATCAGTCTTAGTTTGGGAGCAGTATTGTCTCAAAGTTGGCCAAAACGCTCAGAAATGTCTTTAAAAAATCATGTTTTGGGTCGACTTTAAGCAGCCACTGCGTCTGATCCAAGGCGGGGATTTTGCTCCCTCAACAGGCAATTGGTCTTTGGACCTTCTTTTAGCATGCCTTTGTTACGGAGTGTGATTATCAGTCTTAGTTTGGGAGCAGTATTGTCTCAAAGTTGACCAAAACAGGCACAACGATTTTTCAAAGACATTTCTGAGCGTTTCGGCCAACTTTGAGACAATACTGCTCCCAAACTAAGACTGATAATCACACTCCGTAACAAAGGCATGCTAAAAGAAGGTCCAAAGACCAATTGCCTGTTGAGGGAGCAAAATGCCCGCCTTGGATCAGACGCAGTGGCTGCTTAAAATCGACCCAAAACATGATTTTTTAAAGACATTTCTGAGCGTTTTGGCCAACTTTGAGACAATACTGCTCCCAAACTAAGACTGATAATCGCACTCCGTAACAGAGGCATGCTAAAGGAAGGTCCAAAGACCAATTGCCCGTTGAGGGAGCAAAATGCCCGCCTCGGATCAGACGCAGTGGCTGCTTAAAATCGGCCCAAAACACGACCCCAGCTACCTCGCCGCGACCCCTTAAAATTTTTTCGCGACCCCACTTGGGGTCGCGACCCTAAGGTTGAGAACCACTGGGTTAGTGTGCTTCGTCAAGCACTCCAAAAACTAAATGGCGTAAAATTAGGCATCACAATATAGATTCTGTTATGCCGCTTTGCGAATCCAGGAATGTGACGGTGCATTCTTGTACTAAACATGCGAATCCCGCCACGTTCTTCGGAATGCCAATAAGCCATTCGTTTTGATCCCGAATCCCGCTCAAACGAACCTGAAGTCACATTCCTGCCTTTCCAGTACAGGCACCACTGAAAAACCGAAAGTGGTCTAGACCGCACCAACTGATGCAGTCAAATGAATGCCATATTTTGCCCGCATTATATGGTGTGGTCGGTCATTGCACTACACATCACAAACGCGGTCTAGCTTTTCAAGCTCCTGTCGTTTTTCAGGGCACAAATGACAACCCACACCACGTTTGATGATGCGGTCCAAGTCGTTGTCCGCACCACACGTGCGGCGTAGACCTCGTTTTGGTTTCCAGTGACGTCACTGTTTCATTCCAAAAGGAGGTCGAAGTATTTTCATTCGAGACTGCGGACTCACCACGTGCTGCTTGCCGGGCGCGTGGTACTTGGAGTGCAGCATGGCGAGGGGCGGCAGCGCGGGCAGCGCGGGCTGGTACTGGAAGAACTGCTGCTGCGGCGCCACGAAGGAGTACGGGTGCGGCGCGTACAGCGGCTGCTGCGGCTGGGGCTGCGCGCTGTAGAGGTGCGGCTGCGGGGCGGGCGGCTGCGGCTGCAGCTGCTGCGGGGGCGCGCTGCTCACGGTGTTGTCCACGATGGAGTTGCCCGACACGGCGCTGAGGCGCGCCGCCCCGCGCTTGGACACCGCCTCCGACGCCTGGCTCTCCTGGTCCGCCACGGAGGCGGCGCTGGGCCCGTTGGGGCCGTTGGGGCCGTTGGGGGCGGACGGCGCCGGCTCGGGGGCGGGGCCGGGCGCGGGGGCGGGGCCTGCCGCCGCCAGGGCCACGACGGCCAGCATCAACACCACCTGGGGACAGCAAGGGCGTCGCTTTTAGCCAAGAATTTCTGGTCTTCTAGGCCTTCTCGACCTTCTATTCTAGGTCCTTGTCAAGAAATTTCTACTGCGAACTAACTGTCTCATAACTTCAAAAAAGTGTCGTCTGGTTCGGCACGGTGGCGTCTCGTTGGGACGTGGCCCAACACTACAGAATGCCAAAAGTGCGCGGTTTGATGACACGTGGGTTAATCCCAACAGTGACATCCCTGTAGGATTCCAACGCCACTGATTGCTAACGAAGAGTGAGGCGCCTCAGTACTCAATTTACAAATTTGTCCAGCCAGAAATGGCAAAGACATAACGTTGCACAGAACAAACGAGAACAACAACAATGAAAACACACGAAGACATTGCGGAGTGGAGCGCGCGTATCCTCTGTTGTCGCACACGGTCGCACAGCACGAAATCACGGCACTGTCTTGGCTTCACTGCCGGGTTCCCGGGTTCACTTTGGGCACTGAGTCTTGGTACTCACGAGGGGCTTCATGGGGCTCCTGGTAGAGGTTTGGGGAGCACAAAACACCAAAAGGCTCGACGCCCGTCTGAATTCGACTTGTCCAGGCTGTGGGCCTCTGGAGCCTTTATAACCGCACGCCCCGCTCCGCCAGCCTCCGCGCTCCCCTCCCCTCCTCCCCTCCCCTCCCCTCCCCTCCGTCGCGCCTGGAGACCGGCTGTCCAGCCCATTGCTACTTGCTCGACTTTTCTCCGTCGCCCCGCAGCCCCCCTTCTTCCTTCCCTGCGCCTTCCTCCTGCTTTTACCCTGTCCCTCCTCCACCCTCTCTTTCCCTCTTTCTACCTCTCCTCCTACCCACTCCCTCTCACTCCCTCTCTCTCTCCTTCGGACGTCCTTGCGACAAACACGCACGGAACAAGCGGCAGAAAACGCTCCGGTTATCCCCGCATCCCTGTAACAGGTGCCTTGGATTCGGTGGCAGACGCAAGTCGCATACACTGGGAAAGTTTCAAGATGACTTTTGCTGCAGTTTACGAAGGAATTTAAGCAAACGCACCAAACTAAATTTGTTTATTTTACGAATATGGGGGTGGAAGAAGAACGCATTCAGCCAGGCGCATCGATTCAGAAGGACCGCCGGTCACTCTGTCTCTCTCGCACCCTCACGGGGACACCCTTGAGTGCGACTGAGACGGAGCGACGTGACGATAACAACTACTCCACTGAATCGACCGTAAGCGAGCGGCATGGCCGCGTCGGCGCTTTGGTGAAAACGTCATTGACTCTGCCGACGCGACATCCGCCATCGCCACGTCGAAGTGCGGCCAGCAGACTGACTCGGAGGGTCGTCTCCGTCGCTCCGTCTCTCTCGAACTCACGGGGCGATCCGTGCTGGTGTGAGAGAGACAGCGCGACGAAAACGACTGTCGGAGTCAGTCTGCAGGCGGCGACGCGGCCATCGGCACGTGCAGCTTGGTGCAGCTCAGGTGCGGATCCAGAGCAGAGGCGATGGGGCCCTCTGGGCCCCCAACCCGTATATGGATGCGCCCCTGGTGCATCTTGGTGCATCTTGGTGCAGTTTGGTGCAGCGTGCACCGCGGCCGTGCGTGCGGCGGCAACGTCCGCACAACCATCGGAAGTGCCGTGGGGCTTTGGAGCTGCATGCCGCGGCGTGCCGCGTGTGCGAAGTGAGGGAAAAAGATCGCCGCTTGCTTATCTGCCTGAATGTCGTTATATGTAACCGATCACGTCGCCAGCCCATCGATACAGTCGTGCCAAAAAGGATTAAATAGCGATTCGACTGGATTGAGACGGCAAGACTCCCGATCAATGCCAGGTGAAATGACAGACTTAATGTACACTCGGCAAGTCCGAAGCTCATTTGCCTTTACACCTAGAAATTCATTTGTTCAATTCAAAGAAATTCCTTTCATGAATTCCTTTCATGTCTCCATGCTGTCCACACATGCAGCAGACTGATTCCGAGCGACGAAAACGACTCTCGGAATCAGTCTGCTGAAGGAATGCAAGCTGGGCTGCCTCCTTGGGGGCTGGCCGTCTGGGCGCCTTGCCGAACGCGCAAGCGCACTACTTGGTATTCCGAGCCACTGCACTGCGATTGCCGGCCCTCCACTGCCTGGGCAAGGCCCTGGGCAAGGCCCTGGGCAAGGCCCTGGGCGCCCTCGGCGCATACATCAGGCGTCAGGCTGCGTCTGGCTGCGTCAGACCCGGCCCCGGGTCCGGCGAGGCCGCTGCACGCCAAGCAGCGCCAAGCAGGCTCCACTCAGCCACCGAGCCCGGCCAGCAGCATCGCTCTGTCTCTCTCGCTCTCATGGGGCGTTAGGCGCTCTCGTAGGGGTGCGAGAGAGACAGAGCACGGTCAAACGCAGGGCGGCAGGGAAATGGTTCGAAACGGTTGTGCAACGGGCCAAACAAGAGCAGGGCCGACCCCGGCCGCACCCGCCGCGCAGGGCAAGCAGCGCAGTGCAGGGCAGGGCAGTGCAGTGGCGACGAAGGAAAACCTCCGTCTCGGGAAGTCTCGCCCTCGCCGAGAAGGGGGCAGTGCGTGCTGTGTGGGGTGCTGTACTTGTTTTTGAAGCTTGAATGAGAGGCTGTGGATGAAGTACACGTAAAAAAAGAATTCGTCGTAACAAAGCGAAAATGTATTTTGTATTTTGGGATAGTAGCTGATAAAAAGTCGTTAGGCGTACTATCAATTTGTTGTCAGAACGAACATTTCGTTCTGACAACGAACGATCAGGAGTACTAAATATCATAAAAATGAGTGTTCGTACTCATGACGAATTATTTGTCGTGAGAGCAAAGTGTTCGTTCTCACAACAAATTGATAGTACGCCTAACAATTTTTTTGTTTCTATCCCAAAATCAACATACGTTTTCGTTGCCACAACAAATTCTTTGTCTCCGTGTACAGTATAGTCACCTACAGGCTTGTCACGAGGGACCGTCTCTGGTCAGTGAAACAGTGTGGCTGTTTGGTAGCAGAAAGACGTGGGCCCAAGCCGTCCATCATTGTCCATCAGACAGGTAGCGAACAACACATGACTTCGACGCAGTGGTGAAGCACGGGTTTCCTCCCGCCTGTCAGCTGGAACACCTGTTGCGGTTACCATCTCCTCCCTCAGGCGCTTCGGAGACGGGAAATAATACGTATACGTATATGTCTCATTCTCGATATTATTTTTTTTTCGATCGTTTAACGGGTGTGTGTGTGTAACTGAGTTGTGGGATCCGAAGCCGAAGAGAAGTGGTCCTTCCGGCCGCCTCCCCTCCCCTCGCGGCCCGCAGCGCGCCGCGGCGATTCCGTGACCCAGTGATGACGAGTGATGACAGTGTTCGCGCGTGGCGTGGCGTGGCGTACCAGGCAGAGGCGTGGCAGGGCGTAACGTGGCAGAACGTGGCAGGGCGTGGCAGGGCGTGGCAGGGCAGAGCAGAGCAGGGCGTGGCGTGGCGGGGCGTAACATGGCGTGGCAGGGCAGGGCAGGGCAGGGCGTGGCGCGGCGCTCCGCGTTGCCCCACGTTACAGATTCCCGGCGAGCCGCGGCGGCCGGGCGGCGCGTGGACGTCGCGCACAGACTGATCCCGAGAGTCGTTTTCGTCGCCCTGTCTCTCCCGCACTCATGGGGCACCGCGTATAAGTGCGAGAGAGACGAAGCGACGAAAACGACTCTCGGGATCAGTCTGCTGCTGCATCGCGCACTGATCACTTTCGGCACCGCGCGCCCACAGACCGACAAACGGGCATTGCCAGGCAATGCAATGTGGAGGAGAAATTTCCCATACTTCATCCCCGGCTCTCTGGCGGACCCGGGCCGGCTGCTAAACGGCCGCGAACCTTTCGAGAGGACAGGGGCTTTCTTGCGGACGACATAAAGCAGCATTACGTGACGTGTCGGCATCATAGCGACAAGTCGCGGACACAGTCAGTCACACTCACACACACACACACACACACACACACACACACAGACACACACACACAAGACATACAGACAGACATACAGACATACACGCACGCGCAGTCGCAGCAGAGAAAGACTAGAGCAGCCGTTGGCGTCAGGGGGAGCGGAGAGAGAAATGGAGGGGGAGGGGAGGGGGGAGTGACAGTTCGGTGGGCCGGACTCTCGGACACTCGGACTACCCGGAGGCGTCGGGTGGGTGACGCACTCACAGATCGCACAAGGATTGCACGCGATGTAGGGGCCTAAGCAGTTGGCGCAATGAAGAGCACAGTCAAAATTTGTTGTCACCTATGACAAAGTAGTGGATGACATTGCCATCTCTTTTCAAATCACTAATTCATCACGAAATCAACGACTTTTTAACAATCTATATTTTGACGATTTAGCAGTATACGTACTACGACGCACAAACCGGAAGACACCCCCAAGTGTTCTGTTAGCGAGGTGCACTCGGTCTTACAATAAAAATTTGAGCTAGTATCAGTGACTTTCGGTGCAAGCATGGAGACCTCTCCATAATGCGAATATTTTTTAGCATTTTCATTGTAAGATACAAGAAAAACCTTCGTGTGGTCAACAACAACAACAACAACAACAACAACAGCAGGACAACAACAACAGGACAACAACAACAGGACAACAACAACAACAGGACAACAACAGGACAACAACAGGACAACAACAGGACAACAACAGACCAACAACA